TGTGCACTGTGAGTTACAGCACCCAGCCAACTATAAGGGCTGCCAAGTATACAAGCGGTTGCGCAAATTGCAATCCCCAGCACAAAAAAGGAGTCCCACACAAACACCGTCTACGGGTCCGAGTACTGCTTCCGAAATTACAAGGCCCCGGAGCATTACCCAAGCCACGAGCTTTGCAACGCCTATTAGTGGTGTTTCTTACGCACAGGCCGCTAGAGGTGGACCGTCAAATAAGAATACCACAAGTGACACTTTGTTCACTGAAATGCTTCAGCAACAACAACGTCAGTTTGACGCAATTAATGCCGAGCTCAAAGCGATGCGAGAAGTACAATCCCAACAAGCAACCATGCTAAACAGTTTAATGGCCATCATAACCAAGCTTGCCTACAAATAATGGCTTTACGTGTGGGTATCTGGAACGCCAATGGCCTGAGAAACAAGACTCAGGAACTGGCTGCGTTTCTCTCACAAGAAAACATAGATATAATGTTAATAACAGAAACTCATGAGTGCCCCACTACACAAATTTTCGGATACGAACACTATCAGGCTCATGGTGAAGGAGCAAACTGCTTTGGTGGATCCTCAATCCTCATACGAGCAACAATACCGCATACACCTTTACTGCCAATTTGCAACGCAACAATGCAGGTCTCAGCCATCACCCTGCCTACGTCTATTGGAGCGATCGAAGTTGCGTCAATTTATCTTCCGCCAAACACTGGTCTGTGTGATCATCACATGGAACAGGTTCTAGGCCAAAGGTTGAATAAGACCCTCATCGGCGGCGACTGGAATGGATGGCACCCATTTTGGGGAAGCAATAGTGCGAATCGTCGCGGAGAAGTCATATTTGAGGCGATTCAAAACTTACAATTCAGCATATTGGCGACTGGAGCCCCCACCCGTTACCCAATTAATGGACACAGGCCCTCGGCAATCGACTTCGCTGTCTACAAAGGCATCTGTGACCGGCAATTGACCATTGAAGAATCCTTGGACCTATCCTCTGACCACCTGCCACTAATAGTCACAATCCACGCGCAGCCACAGCCCTTGCCCATTAGGAAACAACTACTGCCAGCAGGATCAGATTTAGGAGTCTTTAGGCGCGAGCTCCATTACTCTTTGCACATAGAAATGGAACTTAACACTCCTGAAGACGTGGACTACGCAGCAAACAAACTGCAGGAAGAAATAGTCAAAGCTGCGCACCAAGCCGCCCCACCATCTTGCCAAACAAGACAACAGTCTCCGTACAACATCCCCCTCACCTTGGAGGCCCAACACCTACTAATACACAAAAGATGGGCCAGGAGACGCTGGTTAAGATTACGCACGCCTGATGCCAAATCCATGTACAACGAAGCCACGAGGCATCTTAAAGCTGCTCTCGCCCTGCTTCAAAAGAGGTGTATCAGCGATGCGCTGGTACGAGCTGAATCGCCCACTGACGCAGAGTTTCAATTATGGAAATTTACAAGAAAGCTCAAACGGCAGCCAATACGACGTCATCCCATTCGGAGCATTTCTGGTTCCTGGCACATTGGAGACGAAGCTCAAGCTGAGGCTTTTGCAAACCACCTTCAAGACCAATTCACGCCGGTGATTACCGCAGAGGCCTCAGAAATCGAAGCAACAGAAGACATCGTTCTCTCGCCCCTCCCAGCTGAAGACCAGATAACTGGATGTACAAAAGAAGAGGTTCTTGAACACATCAGAAGAGTGAAGGCAAAAAAATCCCCTGGATATGATCTAATAAACGGCAGAGTCCTTAGAGCACTGCCTGACTCCACCATAGACTACATAACTATGGTGTACAACGCCATGCTCCGCATCCGGCACTTTCCAGCCTGCTGGAAGCGCGCCGTGATTGTGATGATTCCTAAGCCTGGCAAACCCGTGGGAGAAATTGAGTCGTACAGACCAATTAGCCTGTTGCCAGTACTCTCCAAAATATTCGAAAGAATATTTCTGGAACGAGTACTGACACATCTGGGACGCCAGGAGGCCATTCCAAACCATCAGTTTGGCTTCAGGAGACAGCATGGAACACCGGAACAGGTTCACAGAGTTGTGCACCATATCCTTGGAGCCTTTGAAGAAAAGATGTACTGCTCTGCCGTCTTTTTAGACATCAAACAGGCGTTTGATCGAGTTTGGCACCTGGGACTGCTGCAGAAAGTGAGGACCACCCTTCCAGCCCCATTTTTCGCGTTGCTATCCTCATACCTTATTGGAAGAACCTTCCAAGTGTCAAGGGGGCAAACAGTATCCTTGACTAGACCAATTATGGCTGGAGTACCACAGGGTAGTGTTCTAGGCCCAACACTTTATACTTTATTCACAGGAGATATGCCAACTCCCGAGCCAAATATAGGAAGTACAGATGCAGTACTCATAGCGACCTATGCAGATGACACCGCCATCTTATCACGTCACGTATCTGCGCAAGAAGCTTCAGACTCACTACAAAAATATCTGGACTCTTTCGGACGCTGGGCAAAACGGTGGTGTATCACCATTAATGCACAAAAGTCTGTACATACTACCTTCGCCACTAGAAGAGGAGATTGCCCAAGCGTTGCATTGGGGCCCACTATTCCCAAAGCCTCAAAAGTAAAGTACCTTGGTATCACTCTTGACAGAAGGCTGACTTTTAAAGCGCACATAAGTCAAGTAACCTCAAAATGCAAAAGCAAGCTAAAAACCCTCGACTGGATGCTGAGAGCTTCAAGCAAGTTGTCTTACAGCAGCAAGGCCGCCATCTACAAGGCAATAGTTGTCCCAACCTTCGTATATGGTATCTCTCTATGGGGCTCCTCGGCGAAGACTACAAGGAACAAAATTCAGACCCTGCAGAATAAAGCACTACGCAGATGGACTGGAGCCAGCTGGTTTGTAAGAAACTCAGTCTTACATAGGGATTTAGCAATTCCCACAGTTGCTGAACTCATTGGGCGACACAGTTCAAGATACGCGGACAGACTTGCAGCGCATCCTAACCATCTCGCAAGCAACCTGGCTATAAACAACAATAGGCGAAGACTGAAGAGATTGCATCCTCTAGACAATATTAGAACTAATTAAGATAGTAGCTACAAGTGCAGAATAATTGGCATATCTGCCCTCCCATTAGTTAAGGTTTAGAGCTAAATGCGCTATAGAGTCTAAGACAATAAGCTGCAACAAAATAAAGAAATAAAAACGAAAAAAAAAAAAAAAAAAAAAAAAAAAAAAAAAAAAAAAAAAAAAAAAAAAAAAAAAAAAAAAAAAAAAAAAAAAAAAATTTCAATTGACTTATAGAAAATGAGGCGCGTGGGACAAGTTTTCCATTTGCCGCATGACAATTTTCCCCCACCCCATTGAAGCGAGGAAAACAACTTAAAAATGCACACACGCGTGCGTTAAACTAATTTAGCCAAACACACGTAGCCCCCATCCCCTTTAACATCACCCCCTCCCACGCACCCTTCTGTTCCCTTCGTTCGAGCGGGCAATTCAAAATGCATTTTTCATTTTGAGGCTTTGGCGCCGCGCCGACAATAAAAAAAAAATTTTTATGACAGTCGTCAGGTAAAAATACAGGAATATCTCTTCCAAACTCGCTCACCCACATACAGAGCCCACACCCACACGTGCTCATAAACACACTCACTTATAAATTATGCTTTAATTTGTATGCAAGCTGTGAAGGTGGGAAATTGCCAAATACATATATATTGCTCCCCTCTCTGTGCTTCTCATAATTGTATTAAGCATATTAAAGCTGATTTTTGTGCTTCATATGAAGTTGTTAAGACGAGAAAATGTGTTTGAAGTCGACTTGAATGTACAGTTTAGAATAATTAACAGTTTAGAATAATTAATTTTCTAATGCAAATTCCTTGAATAATTAATGAAATTATAAAAGAGAAAAGAGTAAAATGGAATATAAATGCAGCAATATTAATATTAGTTACAAAATAATTGATTTGGCTAAGATTATGTAGTTGAAATAGTTCGTAAATATTATAAGTAAATGCTGTAAAGTCTTTGATAACATTTCTGTAAGTCTCATAAACTGAAAGAAAACGTTAGTCCTTTAAAAATAATTCCCTTTAGGCACTCTGTTAAGAGTCCAAATAATTTACCAGTATTTTATTTTGGGACAATTGTAGAGTGTGACTTATCTGTAATGTTAACCGAGTAACTAACTTAAGTATTGTAAAACATTAGAAAAAAGTATTACTGTTAAAAATTGTTATTATTTTTATTACTGAATATTATTATTATTATTATTATTATTATTATTATTATTATTATTAACAATTTGTCCCTCAACATATCTTAGCCTATGCCTGTTTTAATCAATTAATGTTACTTTAAATTGCTATTGAATTTTAAATACACAATACATCATTTTAATTATTATATAATCTTTAATATATATTTGCCATATATTTATAGTAAACAATTGTTACATTCAAATAGCTAGCTAATATAACTGAAACTGTTCAAAGTCAAACATTTTTCTGTTAAAATTTCCCATATCTAATGTATTCTTTACTTTCGCTCTCTCACACTCGTTCGTTTACAGTGCGAAATGTAAAATTCCCAGCGGCAATGGCACTCCTTTCGTTAAGTTTCACTCACCCGCCCAAAAAGGAACGACGACCGCACGAAGTCGAGCCGAATGGCCGAGAGAGCATCGTTACGACGAATCGCGAGTGGCAAAAAAACGTACTTTCTGGGGCGATGCTAGCGACGATGATGAGAAAAATCAGCAGTTGAGCAGTTCCATTGATAACGCGCTACGAACTGGATCTCTGCCCCAAGCGGGCAAAAGCAGGCATTAGCAGCGCACACGAAGCCATCGAAGCCAACAACAACGACAGCAAATAATATACGCAAAAGCAACAACAATAATAACTGTGCGAAACTAACGAAACTGAATCCAAGGCACAGGCATCGACTTCATATTCTTCTTGTTCTTGTCCGTCTGCTGCTGTAACTGCAGTTTTTCATCCATAACTTTCGGCAGCTGCGTTCGGCATTTCGTTAAGCGTAATTTTGGCAGCGCTCTGTTTTGTCATTACGCGACGCGTGTGCTTAATTATTGTCGGTTGTGTGTGCGAGTGTGTGTGTGTGCGTGTGTGCGAGTGCCTTTGCGTGCAGCCACAAGGAATGTGCAACAAGAACGGTAAATTTAATGAATGCCAACACAGCAGCAAGAATTCAATTTAAATTACTCAAAAGATTCGTCGCACTGAGATAGACCTGAAGATGCACTCAAGTAAGTGACTCACATAGACACGACTATTGATATATCTAATCTGTAGAAAGTTTTGAATAATGTAAATTTTATGTAAAGAAATATATATATATATATATATATATATATATATATATATATCTCAATATATAAAGGCAGAGTTATATCTCAAAATTGCAGATCAGAGAGCGCATACAAATCTTAGACTAAATGAATTCTAATACTAAAATATTTTATAAAATTCTTTCTAATTTGGCGTTCAATAAAAAAATTTAAAATATATAACTAAATAAGGCACTTATATATATGTGTGGGCCTTTACTCAGACTGAACTGGTTATTTCAATAAAAAGTTTAGCTCAATGGTTCCTAAAATTAAAAAGCTTTAAGAATTTTTTTTGATTATACTTTCGGATTCCATGTCAAGTATTTTAAATCCACATTTAAGCTTTCATAAGTATTTTAAAAACAGCCTCAAATATACTAAAAAAATATTAAAATATTATTGAATATATTTATAAATCTATGGGAAATATTTATATATTTATTTCATCTTCACTTTTGCTGACTTATATAAATAATTTACATATATATACATATATGTAAATTTTTTTCTTACATTCCATAAAAATTTCTTAACAAATAAATTTTCTCATTTCTCATTTAAATGCACAAATTTTGTTCATCAAGTTATCTATTAAATATATTAAATTTCTAAAAATATCTGCCAAGCATTGTGGCTTGAAGCATTTTACCTTTTACCTCTCAAAAGCACAATCAAATAATAACGCCTATCAAAGAGTTCTTTTAAAATTTTAATTAAATTCCCATTTGATAAACTTGCCCTAAGGCAACTATGAAAAATATTTGATTTCAACATGAATTGAAGACAAACAAATAGTTATTAAATATCACTGGGAAGTGAGGCAATGTAAAGGCAAATATTAGATTTTACTACACAAAAACTTTGGCGAAGCTTCAAAAGGTTCCTTTTTTACTATTCAAGTTTGCTCTTAGTCAAGTCTTTGACTTTGTTGTATTGAAAATACACTCTGATCCATTGCTGATTAAAATTGTTATCTACTCTATCTCGATAAGCCGTATAAATCATGTGAAGTGCTTGTTGCTGGCCTCACAATTGAAGCTGGCAATTTGAGTCTCGTGCTGAATTTCAATTAAAGTCCTATTAAAATTTCATTAAACAGCAACGCCCACAAAATGGCCACTAATTAGTTTGGCCACACCCCAAACCCAAACGAATTTTCGTCCCACAAAAAAAGAAAAAAAAAGACTGACTGACCTTTAACCTGAGAAACGAGGGCAACGCCATTAAACGAACATTTTTTAAGGCACTTTTCCCTATATAGGCCAAAAACAGAAGCAGACGGTCTAATTAAACTGAAGGCCAAGGATGCGTACAGGTTTCTGTTTTGTTTTCAGTCACTTTTTCCGCTGTGCCCTGTTGGCATTGGTAACAGGAGTATATAGTCTAAGGAATATCTTCTTGATTCTAGTTACTGCATAAAAGTTTGTGCTGAAGCAATCAGAATAAAAGTATCAATTTTAATTGAATATCATTTTAACAATATAACAGTGAAGGAATCCAATTAAATTTTTAATATCAAGCTGATGATCTATAAAGCTTTGTATTCGAAGTGCAGGGTATTTGCCAGTCGTTCATTGCAGCAAAGTTCATTGATATTTTTGAAGCCAACGATTCAGTGCAAGTAAAAATTCCGTCATTTTCATTTAATGTGTCGACATTTTCGTTTAGCCTTTATACCGAGCGCCAGCTGGAGGCGTGGCAGGGCAGGGCATGGCGCATGGCATCCCTGAAGCTGCTCACCCACAGTTGACCTCTGGCGCGTTGATATTTTCATTATTATTTTTTTATTCTTCCTTTCCTTATTTTGTATATATATTTTTTGTTGTTGCTAATTTACGTATTCCATACGCGGGGTTTTGGTGTTTTTTTTGCTTTGTGGCCCTCATAATTTACATGGGGCCAAATGTTTTATTTGTTGTGAGAACCAGCGAACTTTTCGCCTGTCTGGCAAGCCTCTGATTTGCAGCTGTGTGTGTGTGTGCGTGTGCTGTCGTCCAGTTGGCGTCGCATAAATTTTTATACACAAGTATTTGCCCGCTACTACTTTCCCTTTCTTACTCTCTCAGCTTGTAGCGCCCTCTCAGTCCCGCGCTATCTTCAGCTGACAGCGACTTAATGAGCTGCGGAAGTTAATGTGCAGCGTAGTTGTTATTGTTGTTTGCTTTGCTGGCAAATTTATTTGCATATTTGGGTTAATTCTGTTTCTATTTAATGCCAATATAACACACACACACATACACACTCTCTGCATGACTGGCACTTTAATGCTATTAAAATCGTCTGATATTAGGCTGAAGAACAACATTCAAAATAGATATATAAACGCTTGCGAAGAATACTTGTATTTATAAACATTGAAAAGCTACGCTGGAGTAATTATTATAATTATTAAAAAATATTTATTGTAGCTAGTTTACATCTGGAAAACTGCGGAAAAATTTCATCAAAAATGCCGAAAGCCCTTTTTAAATGTCAATTGAGCATGTGAAAAATGTCAAAACTTCAGCTTGGAATTGTCCGAATATTCCATTACTATTTCCATTTCTTCATTTAAAAACATTTAAAATCAGTCTCAATTCACAACATTAAAAATCCATTTATTCTAATTTATATTATGCAAATGTATTGAAGTTGAGGAGACACAGAAGAGTAAAACAAAACTTAAGTATCGAGTACTTTATTCACAAAAGGTTGCCAGACTATATATTTGCCTATTTTTAATCAAAGTTGCCATATCGTACGGCATATATATTTTTATTTTTTTGTAATAATTTATTAGGTATTATATTATTCAGTGCATTGTTATAGACAATGTTGTAATACCCACTTTATATATTATATATTTAATATACTGAAACCGACATAAACAGCTACAAATAACACATTTTTGTATTTTTGTTAGTATCAAAATATGAATTTTTATTTTATTTTTTACAAAATATATACATTATGCTTGTAGCACTGAAAAAAGTATTAGTTAAACTATTGCATTCGTGCAAATCTAAGAGATCAAAATAGATTAAATCAAGTAAGTTATATAACAAAATCCTTATAAATACCTTGCAGAGTTCTCATTCGTCCATTCTTTACGAATGATATTTACATATTTTACTTATTTGTCTTATTAAGACATTTTATTTTAAGAAGCTTTTATTTTAAATTTTATATTCAAATAGTTTTTAAATATTAAATAAAATATTTCTGACAGTTTTTTTCTTTAGCATATTTTAGATGTTGTGTGAGCTCTGCGCGAAAGCAAGCTAAATAAATTCAACAAACCCAAAGTCAAGTAGCTAAAGATTATGCGTTTAGACAGCAAAGCCTGCTAGATTATATTCTACAGCTACACTTGATACTCCAAATACAAAAGACTATAAAAGAGCACAGACAGGCAACTCACAGAGATAATATCTCTCTCTATCTCTCGCAGATTTTCGACAAGTAGCCCACTCAGAGCACAAACTCAACTGAATCACTGCAAATAACGATGTGAAATAAGTAAAAGAAAATAGAAGTTAGCTGAATGCAAGATACTCTTTGTATACACTTAAATGTAAGAAATTGCCTTTATACACGTCTCATAACTGCCAAACATATTTAATGACTGACTTTTAATACCCTCACCGAGAGTGCGCACAAGTAGAGTATCAAATCAGAGAAGAGCTGTTGACTTTTGGGTGCCCACAATGGAAGCCCAAACGTGCTTCTTCGGCAATGTCCTTGCATATGTGTAAATATACACACACACACACACACTCACACACACAGACATATTGCAATCACACAATCAATAGCGAAAAATGATTTGTGTAAACACGTTTTGCTCGTCCATTTCTCTGTGGAAAATGAAAGGCAACAAAAAAGAAGAAAAACAGCAACAAAACTACGACACGAGCGAAAAATCTGTAAGTGAGCAAAGTTTTGGGCAAAACTCTTTAATCAAAGCAGCAAATCGAGTTCTTTTTTTGAGCAGCTTCTGCTTCTGGGAACATAAGTACTTCTAAGAGTCGCTCTCAGTGTGAGTGTGCGAGTGTGTGTGTGGGTGAGTGTGCGTTGCCCATTTGTATGCTCAAGTTCATTAGCGTCAGTCGGTAAATATTTACACGAGTTGCCAATTTCGTAGCTCTTTTCAACTTGACTTTGGCTGCGAGCAACAAATATCATTAAATTTAATTTGTTGCCAATATTGATTGAAATCATTTATGTGTGTGTGTGTGTGTGTGTGTGGGTTGATTATGGCAGCATAGTCCAGGGAAGATAAGAGAATTTCATAAAGAGTTACCCCAGCTTTTGATTCAAAATTTGCATCAGCAAAAAGCCTTTAAGCTGACACGAGCTGCTTTGCATCTAATTGCCTCAACTAGTATGACATCATAGCACAGTAGATACACCTCAAGCTAGAAACTTAATTACAACAAACTATAATTTATTGAAATGTAACTGATTTCGAAATTTACAACGGTCCAGACGACGTAATCTCTGCAGTCAAATTATATGCGAGATTTCTGCAGCTGTGTCGACCAATGCGTTCTGCTAACCTATAGTAGCCCAAGTAGCCCTAGGCTTCTGACGAATCAGTTTAGCTTCAGTCCATCTGCACAGCGCTTATTTTGCAGAATTGGAATTTTGCTTCTTGAAGGTATACCATATCGTAGTTGGGATAACTATTATCTTTACGACAGCTAGCTAGAGGCTCTCAGCATCCTTTGCAGATCGTAGCCTCCTATTGAACCTAGTGACACATTCTCTAACGGCAAAAGTTTTGATGCCAACTTTGGGCCGAGCGAGCGAAAGAAAGCAGATGTCTGCAGTGATACAGAGGCTTGCACCGAGAGGAGGGGCATAGGTATCAAGCTTCTATCGGCAGTTCCCATAAGGGACTGAGGAACTGTCATATCTGCCCGAGAGGCTTCAGCTGCGATTACTCTACACGAAAGGTTCTTCAGAAAAATGGGGCTCATACCGCCTGCATCTTATCCTCAACCGATCCCTGAGCCCTGGTATGAGCTCTTGTCACTTAAGTATTTTCTCGAACAGACCAATGCGAGCCCATTACGCCCACAGGCTTACAAGGCTTAAGCTTCACAGCTGATGCGAAGCACAGCAAAAACTATGCGCATATAGATTTAATATAAAAGCATTGAAAATTGTTTAAAAAGATTTTTTTTTACCACCAGAATCATACAAATTACAAATAGTTTTGATTTTACATTAAATTTAACAAATATAGTAAACTATCCAAATAAGTTTATCCAATGCCTGTCACAATACAATTTTATAAAATCATCTCAATTATAGACTATTCGCTTCTCAAAGTGTCTCGTGAGGTGTTAACTCGAATGCAAATTTCAGCATTCCAATCAAAATCCAGATCTATGTATGTAGATATATATATATATATATATTGTGTAACTGGAAGAGGAAATACAATTAGCTAGCAGATCGACAACTTCCATCGCACTTACAGTCCGAGTAATATCCAGTTGTGTGTAGATCAATCGAGGTATATCCATGCCAAGTGTAAGTATTTTGTTTTTGTAATGTGCTTGTTTCATATAGGGTCTGCTGTTGTTCATTTAGTATAGCTTTAAAAATGTTTTTGTTTTTTTAACTTTTACTTTTTTTGTAAAACTATAAAAATTTACACTTTGCGCTTAATGTAAAGTGAAGAAAAGTATATTCCGGGTTGCAACACGTATCAATTCTTTTCTTTTTAGTTAAATATATTTATGATTTAGTTTTAGCTGTTGTGTGACCGTGTCCAAAAAGTGTACTGACTGAAAACTGAAGCTACGCCTGGACATATCAACTGAAACGGATTGTAAACCAAATCTGAGACTACTTTGATTACACAGTTTTTCTGTTTGGAAATCGTGTTTGTTGCATACAATGTGTGCCTTACTACACTTGACTGCCTGACTGACCGAGCCATAAAATATTCTCTCATGGCAGATAGAAAAGATAAAATCTGTACCCAGCTCGGGAAAATACTCTATCAACAATCGCTTTATAGAAAGAATATCATTATTGGAACTCAAAAGATATATATATATATAAATATATATACATATAGATACAGTCATATATATATATATATTCGAAAATATCAGCGAGAGTCCATAAATTCACATTGGATAATGTTAACTTTTTCTGTAGATAGATTATGATTGTGAGATTATAAACCAAGGAACATTCTATTTGCCAGCTAGGTTCGTGTTGATTTTCTCTACAGACCGAAGAGATATATATTATTTAACCATTAAGCTTCCTCCTCAAGCTATGAAAAATTAAAGAAAAAAACGCAGATAGAACGGGGCTCTAGGTAACCCCTAAATAAGCTCCTTCGATTAGAGCCAGCTTGAACACATGAATTTACTCATTATATACCAATATTCACTATTTTGTAGCCGACTTCTCTACAGATAGAGCCGCGTAATATTGATGTCAATGGCCAAGTTTGGAGTCTGCCAAGTTCTGATTTAAATAAAAACACATTGAAATAGAGTTCACCTGCTGCCACGTTTTATTAGTCAATGCGTATATAGATATAAAATTATATACAATTTTCCCGCTAATTACGAATGTAATTGTGGCCAACTGTATTGCACAATGAACTGCCTTTAGGTACAATTAGCCAACGCTGAGGTTTTGTGCCCCCATACCTCGAACGATAAATACGCCAATATTTCATGGCTTTCCAATGAAGTACGGGAAATCGTCCTTTATTTCTCTATCAAGCGTAGTTTCTGTACTTCTTGCCACATATCTATATATTTGTCCCTTGGCTCTAGCGAGGAAGCTGCCTGTTTGGTTTGGAAAAGCAATGCCGATTGACTATTCAATGTATCTTGGTGCAAATATTCACAGGTGCAATTGCAGTTGGGCATATAATCCATTGCCTCCAGATCGGATTTGATATCGGCTAAGTACTCCTTAAACTGTTTGGTCATTACGCTATCGACGAGTTTCCCCTTACACGCGTTACAAACGCTCCAAAATCTCATACTATTCGCGACGTCTCTGCAGAATTGGCGTTCTTGTAAAACCTTCATTTCTAAACAAAAATAATGAAATATTATTATACTATTTTATTACTACATTATTATATTATTATATTATTATATTATTATATTATTCTATTATTATATTATTATATTATTATATTATTCTATTATTATATTATTCTATTATATTATTATTATTATATTATATTACATATATTATGTATATTATTATGCTTGCCTTGTCTTTTGGCCTGCATCGATTTTTTCTGTGATGTGTTTAACTGTGTTCGTGTCTGTGACATAAAGAACTGGGCCACATCGTATTCACGGAGCGCATAGACTTTGGGCACAATATCAAAATTATCTGTCCATCTTTGGCAAGCGGCATTGTGGTTGAAGCCAGAATATGGCACCCAAGTTCTAAGCACGGCATCCATGAATTCGCGTTGACGTTCATTCTCCTGTGTTCTAACAGTCATATACTTATTGCACACATATCGATTATAAAATCGATAAGTCAAAGCTGTAAGTATGTCCTTTACTTTGGTGTATTCTCTAAAAAGAGAATAAGATCAATTAAATATACACTAATATCGATAGCATACTGTAGCGAGCGAGCGACGAGATGATATACTACTCCTTACTTTTGCTTATTAAAATCAATATATCCTGGCAATTCGCCGGTTCTCATCATTCTGCGCAGCTTTAAGGCATACGAATGCAGCAGTTCCTCCACGCATTGCAGCTGCATGTTCTTGAGGAAGAGCAAATTGTTGACATGCTTGCGCGACCACCAGCCCCGAAAGAAGGACTGTATCTTTAGAGATGCGTTGTAGTACAAAATTTGAAGGGACTCTTGAGTGCGATCCTGTGCCACAAGGATCAAATGACGCCTGCCTATATATCGACTCCATGCATGTTGAATAATACGAGCGGCTTTCCGTTGCCTTCGCATTTTGACACGAGCGATAAAACCACGGAAATTACTTTGTATGGTGCGCGCGGCCTTGAACTGTTTGTAATCGAGTAATAGCAATTGAGTGCTGAATATTAGTATGAGAATCAGAATTAATGAAGATGCGTTAATGTTAGATTATTTACCGCATTACATTCGCCTGCATCGGAAACAGAGAAGGTCCAGACCTGCTCTCATTTTGACTTAGACATCCCTTATTTACATGGGTACTTTCGACCGAACAATAAGAATATAGACCTAAAAGTGTCGTTGGAAACATTTTTAATAATGTATTGAGTACTGTTTGTTACGGTGTAGAAGGTGTGAATAGTGTCTGCCTCTATTGATATTGTTATGTATATTTCTGAGAAGTCTTGGGTAAACTGATATCTAGGTTAAATGGTTTATATTTATATTTATAATGAATCCGCTTATTCATTTTCGTCTCTTTCGGTACTCCAGCAGTTTAAAGACGATATCAATTTATCGATTTTCATCAATAAAAATGATCACTTCTTTCCACAAATTGTAAACGAAAATATATATTTTAGGTCTCTTAACTTTTATGAATTTATGAAATATATATTCTTGACCGGGACGATGAGCAGTCGATTTCGCTGTGCCTGTATATGTGGATGCATCTATCGAAAGGCAGCTGTTAAATTACATCTCGTAGGGCTTCAAAGCTAGAGCAGCATTGTTGATTTCCTCCGGTCACCCATTCGATATAGTGGCCAATAAAAAAATATTTTTAAAGTGGTATTCACATACTGGCTCTTTTTATTTGTCAAAACGTATATATTAATAAAAAATATATCTCTGTATATTGGCCACATTGCACCATGAATTTCTTTTAGTTCCGTTTAGGCAACGCTAAGATAACTATTTTTGTCTCATCTTATGGCTCAAAATGCTCCTATCGCCTTCCGCTATTAAACGTATTTTTTATTTTCTTTAAATAATTAAACAATCTGAAATGTTCAAAAATTGTTCGTGCTTTGGCTATTGAATTCAAGGTAACGACGTGTGCGATGGGCATTTTAAGAGCTCATTTTGCTTATTATCCCTGGTGCAATTGCAATTGGCCACAAAATGTATTGCCTCCAGTTCGAATTTGACATCGGCGAGATAATTTTTAAAGTTTTCGTTAAATAAGTTATTCTTGACTTTTCCCTCACATATCCGACAAGCGCGCCAAAATCTCATGCTATTCGCGACGTCTTTGCAGAATGCTTGTATTTTCATGTTGTTTTTCATCTTTCTCTCCAGCACCTCTGAATCAGCAATAAAAATAATTAAATATAAAAAAGCATTAATAATATTGACACTTGCCTTTTTCATTGGCCCGTACCACTTCCTTTTGTAAAATTTTCAATCCTGTCTGTTTTATAAACATCTGGGCCACATCGTATTCACGGAGCTCATAGACTTTGGGCACAATATCAAAATTATCTGTCCATTTTTGGCATGCGGCATTGTGGTTGACGCCCGAATATGGCACCCAAGTTCTGAGCACGGCATGCATGAATTCGCGACGACGTGCCTTCGTCTCTGATCTAGAAGTCATATACTTATTGCCCACATATCGATTATAAAATCGATAGGCTAGAGTCGTTAGGATGTCCTTTACTTTGAAATTGTCTCTGAGAAAAAGAGGGAAACAGATGATCCATATCAAATAATTGGTACACTGCGAACAGGACTGAGCAGCTATACACTAATATCGATAACTTTCTGTAGAAAAAGAGAGATAAAATACTACTTACTTATCCTTATTAAAATCCATAAATCCTGGCAATTCGCCGGTTCTCATCATTGTGTGCAGATTTTTGGCATACGAATGCAGCAGTTCCTCCACGCATTGCAGCTGCATGTTCTTGAGGAAGAGCAAATTGTTGACATGCTTGCGCGACCACCAGCCCCGAAAGAAGGACTGTATCTTTAGAGATGCGTTGTAGTACAGAATCTGTATGGACTGTTGCGCCCGTTCCTGAGCCAGAAGGATCAAGTAACGTCTGCCTATATATCGATGCCACGAATTCTGAATAATTGCAGCGGCTTCCTGCTCCCTTCGCAATTTAATACGAACGTTAAAACCACGAAAATTACTTTGTATAGTGCGCGCGGCCTTGAACTGTTTGTAATCGAGTAATAGCAGTTGAGTGCTGCATACAAAAAAAAAAAGGAAATTAGAATTAAGTATAATTCAATGTTAGATTACTTACTGTAGTTGAGCTGCTTGCATCGGAAACAGACAAGGTATAGTATTGCTGTCACTTTGACTCGTGCATTCCTCGTGTATGTCAGGTGTTTGGCTAGTGTCAACCGAATTAAATGAAATTAGGTGCACATATGCCGTTGGCAACATTTTGTATGTTGAATTGAGAAGTGATTTGTGAATGAAACCGGGCTCTGTTAATACGATTATGTATATTTCTGAGAAGTCTTGGGTAAACTGATACATATGTTGAATATTAATTCATTTAAATTCCGAAATATATTTTTACAATTAGCCTGATTATCGATTGCATCGTTGATAATCTGAGATATCTATATGTATCTATTTGTATCTGTAGGTATTTATATGTATCTATTCGTATATTTTTGTATCGATGTGTATCTACATAAATATACCTAAAATATACCTAAAATATAAATATATAAATACCTAAATATTAATATCTAAAGTAATAAATAAATACCTAAATATTAATATCTAAAGTAATATCTAAATACATCTGAATTTATTTTTATTGTACAAAACCCAGTATTAACTTATTCCCTTAACAAAAAGGCTCCAAGTCGACATGAATTTTGCGCAATCCTTGTTAGAAATTTTATTATCTTAGGAAGACCCGCACAGAACCCCTCCAATCAACAATTGAAAATAAAACAATATTCCATTTCATTTAGCCAAAGATCATTATATAATTGATACCAGAATTTACAACAACTCCACCATCCGAACAGATAAACAACTAATTTGCACCAGATAGTTAAAAACTATTCCAGTTAAATTTTCGAAAGAAGCCACTGAGCGTGAACAAGTGAATCAGATGACAGTGTACCATATCCTTGAAGCCCAGGATTATAGAAGATAGGAGAGAAGACTCCCAGGCGTTCGTTTTGTAGCCAAGAAATAGCTCCGCATGGATCACTGTTTAATGTAAGATTAAGGATCGTGGATCACTGAAGATAAGCAACCAACTCGCAGTCATCCTAATCAAAATCCAAGTCTTTCTATGTAGATATGTATAAGTATCTATTGTCACTGCAACAGGAAAATAGATTAGATATATTGCTAGAGGTCCGTCTCGGGTTTGCTCTTACACTTACAGTCCGAGTAATATCCAGTTATGTGTAGGTCAAGCCAGGTATTTATCAATGCCGATATCAATATATCAACATACGCCAATCCGAAATTGGAGATTCATTTCATTTTTATTTACTTTATTTTTTTGTATTTTTGTTTATTGCTTGTTGTCATATGGAATGGAAGCATTTTTCGTTCTTCATTCTTTTTTTCTTATTTTCTTTTTCTTATTTTCTTTTTTATTCTTTTCTTTTTTTTATTTTTTTTTTTTTGATTTTCCAATTGTTTTACTAAAAACTTATAAAAAAATAACACTTTGTGCTTAACGTAAAGTAAAGTAGTTTTCTGGGTTTGCAACACGTGTATGACGATTTGTATTTTTGTAGTTTTTATTGTTTATTTTGGATTTTATGATGTTGTTTGTGTGTGTCCAAAAAGTGTACTGAGTGAAACTTAAAGTTCGGCCTGGGCATATCAAACAAAATCTATCGTAGCTGAGATCCTAGCCTACTCTGATCATACATACATAACTATACAATCATTAAAGACTTGCACGCTCCAATATATTTTCCTGGCACGCGGAGACATTGCCTTTGCATCGGTATAAATTGAATTGCGGGCTGCTCGCTTACAACGCGCCTTCTTGCAGGTTGGTAGAGAGAGTGAGCGCGGGAACTGCCAGATGGTAGCTCGAGAAGTAACGCAAGTTTAATTCATTTTTAATGCGAACTCTCGGCTGTTGGCGTCTTGAACGTGATGCTCGAGGAGTCGCTTGCAGCTGACCAGGTTGCCTGGTCAGCGGTGTGCTGGCTGCAGCAAGTACTCAGCATACCAAAAAAGGCGGAAATCAAAAGTTAAAATAAACTACGTTGTCGACGGCGGCGGTCGCTGTTCGTTGCTCGCTGGTGTCTGATTGTCCTTTGTGGCACTGCCCGCTGCCTGCTGGCTGCTTATAAAGTTGCCGGATATCCGGTTGTTGTCTTCGCTCATTTTTCGCCATCTTTGCACTAGCGTCCGCATTCAAGTCCTTATGCACGCGCCACACTCCACGAAACTCCACTTGTGCAGCAGTTCACAAGGGCCTTTGTCCATTGTCGTCGTTGTCGTCGTAGTTTTGTTTAATGTTTCATTTATTTATATTTTTCGTAAGGACACTGTCGCTGTCCTGGCTGGCGCCCTGTTGTAGTTGCATTCGTCGTCGTCGTCCTCGACGTTGTCGTTGTTGTGTTTTCACTATTTGACGCTTGTTTACTCATTTCCGGTTGCAGCAACTCGCAGTGCAACACACACCCTGCCACCAAGCAGCACAATCCATTGCGTAATGTCCTCGGGCGAACTTGCTTGCTACTTAATACTGAATTATTCTATAGATTACAGCGGGTCGCTATATAAGAAAATATAACTTTGTCTCTCTTGTTTTCTTTGTATAATTGTATAGCAGAAAAGATGCTTGGAAAGTTTCTGAAATAAACAGTCTATTTTGATAGTATCTTCCTAATTTATTTTAAGCATCAGTTTTTGAAAATAATCCAAGAATCGCATGAAATCTGTCCCAATCAAAGTTCATTTCATAGCCGCATCGGAAATTCCCTTTGCCCAATCAAAGTTTCTGCCACGCTACAAACAAACAACTGTTGATTAAGAAATATTTTGGAAATTTCTCTTGCATTATGTATGTATATGTATAGGAAAATGGAATTGCAACTGCGATTCGACTATCTCAATTACAAGGCCAAAGTTTTTGGGGGCAAAAGTTTTTCGATTTGCCATAGCGCCAATTGGTTTTAATTTGCCACAAGGCGGCACCAGCCAGCTAGCAATCAATCAATATTCATCAAAATGCTATTTAATTTGAATGCACCCTGAACAGCTACAACAACTTCCCTCCCACCTGCCAACTGCCACAAAACTTGGCGACGTTGCAAACTTTGAAAAGTCGCCGACAAAGCGAGCGTTGAGTATGTGTCAGGCGACACTTGACAAGCAGCAGGCGGCGGATCAGGCCAAAAGTGCCGAAGCACAACTAACGAGCACAGCTAACCAGCCCAAGTTGCAACTGACTGGCGCAGCAACTAGTTGACTTGGTTATTGAGTTCTCAAAGTGCTGTCTGAGCAAAGAAAAATTGCACGCGGCACTTCTCAGACCTTGCGCTAATTGTGAGGAATTCAATTTGAATTGGTTCGCATAAATCGTTGCCTACTTTTTACCTGTGCAAATATGCGTATGCCCACCTCTGTGCATGTGGGTGTTTGTGTTGCATTTAACCCACATTACAAGCCGTCTGTTCTCAATACCAAGCATTTTCTTTCTGGCTGGCCCATGCGAGACGTTACTTCGTTAACCCAATTTCAATTTCTTTTGAAAAATTAGAAAAGTTGCAATGGTTGCGCCTTTGTGCTCCACTAGTTGCCTTAATCAATGCTCAAACTTCTTTTACTATATAATAGAGAAAGCTATAAATATATCTTCAAGAGGAAATCATATTTCGAATACATTTTATTTCAAATATCAGTTACGACTGCAAAATTTAACATAATATTGATAATATATTAATTAATTTTGATCTCAGGTGTTAATCGTTTGATATCTCTTTAACGCATCGCATTTTCAAATTTCTCCAAATTTATAAACATTATAAATAATATTAATTAATTATTAATAAAAATAATAAATTAAATTTTAAGCAATATCTAACATATATATCCATTTTCCACAAGCCTTCCCTACAATTTTCTTGATCTAAAAATTTAATTGTAATTTCTAATAATCAAACAAAAAAAAATTTTTAAATATATTTTTATCACATAAAAATGTTAGTAGATTAAAAAAATATTTAATATTAATTAGAAATGTAATCTAATATATATTATATCCGTATTATTTATTTATTATATTAATTAATAAGTATATTAATTATTATCTTATTTATTATAAAATATATTTTATAAACTTTTTATCACATTAAATGGTTAACGTACTAAAATAATATATAATATTAATTTGAAATGTAACATATGCTATTTATGTTATTCTGCTTGTACCCAAATATTTTCCGATTTTCCCATATTTATAAGCAAAAATTAAATAATATCTCATAGCTTATTCTTGAGTGAATTTCATTTATGTTAAAGCGGCTTTTGCTCAGCTAATATTCTCAATTAACTGAGGGCTGCTGCGTAGTCTAGAACATTTTCTCTGCGCATTCATAAGCTGCTTAGCCACTCACATAGAAAGGAAAAAAAAAACGCGCAACTAAATTTAAGAATTTTTCTCATTTTAAGACTTGCTTTTAATATTATTTTATTTGTTGTGCCAGGCAGCCAGACTAATATAAATTTTATGCGCCATGCAGACACCTTAAATGTAAAATAGAATATGAGCTGCATATATATATATATATATATATATATATATATATATACTAGATGCTATATACTATATAGAGAGAGAGTGGAGAGTGGAGCAGAGCAAACCCAAATATTTGAAAGACCACAAAAAGCATGTCCTTGTGCGGCAGGCTAAGGCCACTTAATGCACGCCAAAAGCAGTTGATGTGGCTGCCAATGTATGTGTGCGAGTGTGTGTCTGTGTGTGTGTGTGCCATGGCTCATAAATACACATAAACACACGCACACATACATGCACAAGCCAAGCCATCGAGTAAGGACACATGTTTTGGATTTACTGAGCCTGCTCGCAGGCATCTTTTCTGTTATCCTATGCCCCGTTTGCCTGAGTCTCTGTGTGTGTATGTGTGTGTTGTTTCTGTGCTTGTAGTCCTGTTAATAATGCTTTTGATGTGTGCTAAAGACAGCTACAAACTATACCATATACTTTGCACTAGATCTCCTAACAATGTTACGGCATGGCTAGATTTTGCTTGCACTCGACTGTTGTTCAACCCAGCCAAAGCTTTGCCTCGAGCCCAGAAAATCTCTGCTGCTGCAGCACCAAACGCAAATGAAAAGCTGCAATTTTTGACACAAGCAAAATTGCGCAGAAAATGGAGTGGAAAATCAACATTTTGAAAATCATTTTGCAGCCATTGCACAGTCTGGTTTGTCTATACAAATTTTTATTAAAGTTTTTTTAGGCATTTATTGTG